GAGCTTAAAAGTGTCTTTATTTTTCATCTGGGCCTAAATTAGAATAAGAAAATAAAATATAGGTCTTGTATTACATTTATGTTCTGGGGTGTTTAATCAGATTTGAACTTTCTCCCACCAAATAAATGTTTTACTTTCTAATAGGTCAGGGTAAAAATCACTTTTTGGTGTCTTTTTTTTCTTCTTCTATTTCCCAAAAATGGACAGATATAAACTTAAAATGAGTTTTTTGACTGAAGCATAACACCTAAAGATTTAATTGTTACCATAATAGCGATTATTGATGATTTTAACCTTCAGCTTTTAAACATTTGAGATTCATAATAGGCCTGGAAGCCTTTTAACTCATTGGCTGCCAATGACGTCTATAGACGTCTTTTATATTTTTCAACGAGAGTGGCTGGGGGATGATCTGCCAAAGCTTGTCCGTAAATATCAGGCTTCTAGACAGAGTATGTAGTAACAAACTGACCCTCTAGGGGGCAGCGCCACTTTTGATGGGAGATGAGCATAGACTGTAGGCAAATAAGAAAAAGGTAACGGTTCGCTATGAGAGAACATGTCGCCGGTGAGACGCAAGTCGAGGAAGAACGGAATAAGGTAGAAACAATTTTTTTTTCTGGTGAAAGAAGATAGTCTACTCTTTCTTTTGGTGTGTTCGGTGTTTACATAGTCATAGCACAAACTATTCTGTGGCTCTTGAAAAATCAGTCAAAATGCTCAAAAAACTCTGGCAGTATGGGACTCTGTTCTGAAAATAGCTGGCAGTCAATGAGATTAAGGAAAGAAACAGCAGATAATGGTCTTTTTCTTTGATCTTTTTTACCTCGTTTTCCAGGGATTGTGCCGTCCTCGGTGGTCCTGACCGGGTTCCAGGTCCTGTCCCGGGTCTTCCTCACCTGGGCCGTCACCCACAGCGTCAGAGAGGTACAGAAACTGCTTTATTCAGATTGTTTTGGGGTTTTTTTTTGCTTTTAAGAACCTCCAGTCAGTCGTAACCTGTGCTGGTTTTTAACAACCTTTGCCTTCTCCGTAGATCAAGGGAGGAAACCTGTAAGTAATATCGGAAAAGTTTCCAGGAATGAATCTACTAAATCTTAATGTCTCTGAATGCAACGTCTCTGAGCTTTGTGTGACGCGTTACTGACCTTTTTTTTCTCAATCCGTCCTCTTTCCTTCTGGAAAAGCCTGAGCGGAGGGGTTGAATTCGATACGATACTCATTTTCAACAGTATCGATATTATTTATGTATTTATTTACGTTGTTTATGATCATTAACATGACGTTAGCCTTGAACTGCTAGCTGCGGCTAATGGCTAATAACAACACGCCAACAGTAATCAAGTACATATCCAATTCCGCCCACATCCAATCGGCCATTTTGATTATGTCACCAATAGGAAGATCCCAGGCAAGAAAATCCTAATTGCTTCATGGCAATATAGACATTAATTTAAAAATAGTGAAATGAATCTTTCAAACACTTAATTAAACTCTATCTATAATATTATGTTAAAATAGTGGATGTTAAATAGGTTTGTACAATAAGTCCAAACAAGTTTAACCAAAAAAATATTTATTTCTCACAATTATTAAAGGTGGAGGGTTAGGTTTAGGGTTAGTTTTAGGGTTAGGGTTAGGTCTAGGGTTAGGGTCAATAATGTGGGCCACCATAACATCAGTAACAGGTCAGTTTGAAATGAAAGACACTAACCTGTCAAAACTCAGTTCAATTTTGGGGTCTTTGTTTTTATCCTCGTATCGAAAATGGTATCGAGTATTTTCCTGAGTATCTGTATCAAGTTGAAAATGTTAGTATCGTGACAACCCTAACTGCATACCGTCTGAAGTTTGACTGGATACCTGAGGAGCCTGCGGTGTGACCCTCAAAGCATGTTTCTGGGATGAGACCCGCCGGGGGCCTCCTAAACCTAACCCTAACCCTGACCCTAACCCTAACCCTGACCCCCCGTTTGCTGGTCCAGGTGCAGAGCGAGGACAGCGTGCTGCTGTTCGTCACGGCCTGGACCGTGACCGAGATCATCCGCTACTCCTTCTACACCTTCAGCCTCCTCAATCACCTGCCCTTCCTCATCAAGTGGGCCAGGTAGGACCCCCAGAGTCCAAATTACACGGTTAGCAGAGCTGTTTTTAGCAGAGCTCATTGGCTGCCAAAGACGTCTATAGACGTCTTTTATGTTTTTCAACGACAGTGGCTTGGGGGGACGATCTGCTAAAGCTTGTCCGTAAATATCGCCTTCTAGACAGAGTATGAACTAACAAATTTTTTCTGTTAAAAAGTGACATTGGAGGCAGTTTTTCTTCATCATCTGTTTGAATCAACAGTTCCAAACTCGGTTAGCAGAGCTGTTTTTAACTCATTGGCTGCCAAAGACGTCTATAGACGTCTTTTATGTTTTTCAACGAGAGTGGCTTTGGGGACGATCTGCTAAAGCTTGTCCGTAAATATCGGCTTCTAGACAGAGTATGTAGTAACACATTTTTTCTGTTAAAAAGTGACATTGGAGGCAGTTTTTCTTCATCATCTGTTTGAATCAACAGTTCCAAACTCAGACTCCTGATTTCCAGTCAGATTTTTGTTTTAAAAAAGCAACCTGTTGCATAGAATTAACCCCCCTTTAGTTGTCAGTTATTTGTAAAAAATCAGCAGAAATATTGACTCAATCTCCAGTAAAACACCTGTAATTTCTACGTATTTTCATATTTCATATAAGAGACAAAGATGTCAGATTTCAGACCACAAATTACATCAATTTCTCAGCGTTTTCAGGCCCTTTCAGGGTTAACGCTCCACAGATTCCCGATCGAACCCACACAGCTCCTTTCCTCAGGCCTTTCCTCTCCACCGGTCTATTATCAGCCCTTTGTGAGTTCTTCTCCACGGCGAAGGCAACAGTTGTCAGGCGCCTCCCTCCCTGCCGTCTGTTGCTAGGTAGCAAAGGAGGCCACCGCTAAATTGGTATCCAATTTCCAGTGTGGGCTGCTGCGCCCAGAGAGAGGAGAGTGAGCAGGAAAAGGGATGGAGGAGGACTCTCTGTGGCCTTTTTAATTAATTTATTTATTTATGTTGTTTATGATCATTAACGAGACGTTAGCCTTTAATTGCTAGCTGCGGCTAATGGCTAATAATAATAATACGCCAGCGTTAATCAAGTCCGTCTGGCTGCAGACTGCAGGAAGCCAAAGATGGATATCCAACTCCCCCACATCCAAGTCGGCCATTTTGGTCACCAATAGGAAGATCCCAGGCAAGAAAATCCTAATTGCTTCATGGCAACATAGATATTAATCTAAAAATAGTGAAATGAATCTTGCAAACAATGAATTAAACTCTATCCATAATATTATGTTAAGTGGATGTTAAATAGGTTTTACAATAAGTCCAAACAAGTTTAACCAAAAAATATTTATTTCTCACAATTATGAAGGCTGTAGGGTCAGGGTTGGGGTCAGTGTTAGGTTTAGGGTCAGGGTTAGGTTTAGGGTTAGGGTTATGGTCATTAATGTGGGCCACCATAACATCAGTAACAGGTCAGTTTGAAACGAAACTCAGTTACATTTTGGGGTCTTTGTTTTTATCCTTGTGGTATCGAGAATGGTATTGAATATTTTCCTGAGTATCGAGTATCAAGTTGAACATTTTAGCATCGTGACAACCCTAATTCTTACAAATTTGTCATGTGGATGTGTGCAGGTACACGTTCTTCATCGTGCTGTACCCGATGGGTTAGGGTTAGGTTTAGGTTTAGGGTTAGGGTCATTAATGTGGGCCACCATAACATCAGTAACAGGTCAGTTTGAAATCAAAGACACTAACCTGTCGAAATTCGGTTAAACTTTGGGGTCTTTGTTTTTATCCTTGTGGTATCGAGAATGGTATTGAATATTTTCCTGTGTATCGAGTATCGAGTTGAACATTTTAGCATCGTGACAACCCTAATTCTTCCATCTTTATCGTGTGGATGTGTGCAGGTACACGTTCTTCATCGTGCTGTACCCGATGGGTTAGGGTTAGGTTTAGGGTTAGAATCAGGGTTAGGTTTAGGATTAGGGTCATTAATGTGGGCCACCATAACATCAGTAACAGGTCAGTTTGAAACCAAAGACACTAACCTGTTAAAACTCAGTTAATTTTTGTGGTCTTTGTTTTGTATCGAGTATCGAATATTTTCCTGAGTATCGAGTATCAAGTTGAACATTTTAGTATTGTGACATCCCTAATTATTCCATATTTGTCATGTGGATGTGTGCAGGTACACGTTCTTCATCGTGCTGTACCCGATGGGCGTGAGCGGCGAGCTGCTGACCATCTACGCGGCGCTGCCCCACGTCCAGAAGACCGGGCTGTTCTCCATCAGCCTGCCCAACAAGTACAACTTCTCCTTCGACTACCACGCCTTCCTCATCCTGGTCATGGTCTCCTACACCCCCCGTAAATTAGGGGGGGGGGGGGGTAGAAGGATAGATTAGTGGATGGATGGATGGATGGATGGATGGATGGATGGATGGATGGATGGATGGATGGAATGAAAAGAAAGAAGGAAAGAAATCAAAAGCCTTATCTGTAATGCAATCGATCAAAATTCCAAGGAGCTAAAGCAGTCTCAATGGAGAAATGAATGGATGGATGGATAAATTAGTGGATGGAGGGATGGATGGATAAATTAGTAGATGGAGGGATGGATGGATAAATTAGTAGATGGAGGGATGGATGGATAGAGAAATTAGTGGATGGATAGATGGAGAAATGAGTGGATGGATGGATGGATGGACGGGTGGGTGGATGGAGGGATGGATGGAGAAATTAGTGGATGGATGGATGGATGGATGGAGAAATTAATTAAAGGATGGATGGATGGATGGATGGAGAAACCAGTGGATGGATGGATGATGGATGAGTAGATGGATAAGTAGATGGATAACTTAGTGGATAGATAGATAGATAGATAGATAGATAGATAGATAGATAGATAGATAGATAGATAGATAGATAGATAGATAGATAGATAGATAGATAGATAGAT